GGCCTGGTTAACTATTACAAACTAAACACGTAGAAACAGCTACAAGAAAGTCAGTTTATAGTACACAGAGAAACATTTTAGACAGAAAAGAATAGATAGCTAAGTTAGACATCACAAAGGCCTTATAATAAATTTCCTATTACCTCTCCTCAATCTAGTGTATCCTTTTGCCCCGTGATAAATTCTGAGAAACTTTAATATACAATTAAGACATTCAAATTCTGTACATACAGCTACTTCTAATTGTCTGATTAATGGCTCTCCTGGACAAAACAACTTTTGTTTACAATAACTGAAATTATGGAAATTCTTGTATTTTTCCTGGTTACCTTTGTATTGATTTTTTCTGCATAACTGATCATGCTATACTGCAAATGTTAATCACTACCTAAAATGAAAATATAAAAATCTGCTTGTACTTGTAATAAACGGAACAGAGCTTCACTGTCCTTTGAGGCGTGTTGTTGTCCGTTACCCATCGCCAACTCCTTACCCACCTTTGGGACCCCTGGACCCTGCTGCGGCTGGTCCAAGGCCATTGCCATCAACAGCCATTGATATTCCACCAGAATCAACCATTTTTCTTGTTGACCAGCACTAAGGGGTTATTCCCACAATAAACAAGAGATGGCAGCATGGAACCGAGCTTGGAGGGTTTTTTTGTTTTATTGTTGTTCTTATTATTATTGTCGTTTTTACATTGACCATATTCTACTGTGGAGCAAGTTTCAAAAAAATATATCAAAGGATTGAAATGATATAAAGTATGTTTCTTGTTCTCATTGCAGCTTATCTACCAAAAGATAACTAGAAAGTCCTTATGTTTAAAAATGATAAAAGACACTTCTAAATAACCCACAAATTAAATTACAATTAATTTAAAGTGAATGATAATAAAAATTGTACATTAAAAACACTCTGGGAAAAGATAGTGATAAATCCACACATTAGGAAAAAAGCCTGAAAAATCACAAATTTTGCATCATATTACAAACCTGGAATAATAAATCCAGAGAAAGTGGAAGAATGGAAATATGCAAGTAGTGATGTCTGGAAGGGCATGTACTTTTTTATTAAATGATCCTTAATTGTTATTACAGTTTCCCAATTTTTCCTTTGTGCCCTCCTCTGCCCATCCCACCGCACACACCCACACCTTGTTTAGAAGCATATACACTTAATATAATAGCAGTTATTACCTGTTTGGGTAGGATCTTCAGTTATTTTTATTTTTCTATATAATTTAAGTAAGTGGCAACAATAACAACTAAAAGGCCATCTCAGTTTGCACTTAAAAAGTACTAGAGGAAGCCCTGGCTGGTGTAGCTCAGTGGATTGAGCGCGGGCCTGCGAATCAGACAATCGCGGTTCGATTCCCAGTCAGGGCACATACCGGGGTTGCAGGCCGGTTCCCTGCAGGCCAGTTCCCAGCAGGGGACACATGAAAGGCAACCATACATTGATGTTTCTCTCCCTCTCTCCTTCCCTTCCCCTCTAAAGATAAATAAATAAAATCTTAAAAAAAAAGTACTAGAGGAAACCTTGGCATAATTTAAAAATAATAATAATCTTGTATGTTGTTTTGACGACACCAGGGCCTGATCTCATCATTCAGAGGGGCTCCTTTTCCAATTTTCACTTCTTCTTGTGCAAATGCAGCCCAGCAAAGAGGAAATGAAGGTCTAGACCAGAAGTCATGTAGATGAATAGAGAAGCCCTAAGCAGCTCAGCAGGAGAGGGAGTTGTCCCAGGGCTGCCCCACTTCAGTGCCTCCTCACAGCCCTGATGCTACATGACTAAGAAGCAGCAGTACTGAATTGATACACAGCGTACTGCTTCATAATTCACCTGTGACAATACTGAGCTTCTTAACAACCATTCTGTACTCATGACCATTCTAAATTAAAATTGAGATATTTGCATTAAACTTTCCTTCTTCACCACACCCCAACCTTGGAACACCTCTTGACATTGACTTGGAGCCAACGAGTATAAATTTATAGACATGTACAAGGACCCCATACAGAAACCCAGAGACCCCAAAGCCACACCCAAAGAGACCCCAGATCTGAGACCCATTGCCAAATAGATTCAAACCCAAACCACAGACCTCAGAGACAGGACCCAGATCTGTAACCAATACTCCACAGCCAGACTCCAGAGTGGAAGCTGGACAATGAACCCTAGTTGCCAGATGCCAGACACAAAAACTGAACCACACTAGTCAGAGCTTATAATATTCTTAATAGCATTTCTATAAATGACTTTGGATCAAATACTTAAATATAAAATTCATTGTTTTCATAATAAATGGTTTTCATCTCTAAAACCAACAGTAACTGTGTGACGCAGTATATTTTGTGGAAATGTGTTGGGAAACCCCTGCCTGGTTTCAGAGGCTGTAAACCCTCTAAGGCTAAGGCTGAGTGAGCAACCTTCAGACCAGAAGCCACTAAGGAGACAAACCTTATCTCCCTGGCAAGGGTGCTGCTTCTGTTCCTTTTACTTTACTCTGCCTGGCCCCCAATGCTTGATTCATTAGCCAATGATGGGTAAGATTTTCCAAAGTGGGGAATGACTAAAGACAGGTACGATCACGGTGAGGACCCAGGGAAGGACTTGGGGAACTATAGCAAGAGGGGGTGATGAACCCTGACCCCTCGGCTTTGACATAGCCTGAGTCCTCATTATGTCTGCAAGAAGTCTCCTAATCTCTTGGCTGCCTTACTTCCCCTGCCTGACTGAAGCCTGAAACAATGACAGAGGGCGGTGCAGCCTTGTGCTGGAAAGGGCAGGTTCCCCAGGTGATCAGGCCTAAGAAAGAATGCATAAAATCCTGTGAAACCTGCTTTGTTAAGAATGCTCTCAGTTTTCTGATAAGGATCCAAGCAGGAAATGAGTTTGTTTCTCAAACTTTTGTAGCCCTTTAGCTAACAGACCCTGACTCAGAATAAGCCTTAGTAGTTCTTTGTATGCAATCTATTGTTTGATCCTTACTGCCTGACATGGTTAAGGAGCTTTACATGTATTTCTGTCTGTGCAAAATGAACCCAATAAAAGCCCATTCAGGAAAGGGCTCCAGGTCCTTCTCCTCTGAGAGATTTGCCACCTTTCCTCCCCAGGCAGATCATGTCTTGGTAGACTTACTCTCATCCACAGCAGATGGGGGGGGGGGGCTCTGTGGGCAAAGATCCCCCACAGAAATGTTCCTGCTGCAGTAGAGCTTTGGATGCAAATTGGACACTTTGTGTGGCCAAGGTTCTATTCACATAAGGAAGGCAGCATGGGCCACTGGATGTAATGAGGGTGTGCAGAATTTTTATTGAGTCATTTTCAAATGCATACATATATAAACAGCTACTTCTCATCCATTCTTTTATCTACAAAAGTATTTTTTCCCCTGCACATTGCCCAGACCCTGATCCCTGTGACCAGTCCCTGTGCCTCCTTTCAACACATGTCTTCTGCCTGGGTTTTTTAAACACAATTTGTTTTGCAAGATACTTTTCTCACATAATTACATTATTTAGAAATTATTCTGTTACAATACATTACAACCACCTTACTAGGTTTTCTTTCTTTAATGAAATACCATATATCCTCACCCATTTCAACATTTTATAATATTTGACAGTGTGAGCAAAACATAATCTAACAAATTCTCTTCTACTGGAAACTTTAAAGTTATATCTGTTATTATATAAGTGTTGGAGACAATATTTTAAACATACTTCATTTCATACACAAGGAATCATAACTGGGGGGATTTTTACGCTTCTTAAAAAATTTTAATTTATTAATTTGAAAGAGAGAGAGAGAGTTGGTTCACTTATGTATTCACTCATTGGTTGCTTCTTGTATGTGCCCTGACTGGAGAATGAACTGACCACCTTGGAATAGGCAGGACACTCTAACCAACTGAGCTACCAGGCCAGGGCTACTAGAGGAAATTTTTGAAAAGTGGAATTTCTGGGTCAGAGGGTGTGAATATGTTATTTCGGGATGGCTTTTCTCAAATTGATCACCAGAGAGTCTGTACCAAAGGACCCTTCCCTGAGTCTTTCAGAGCAAGGACACTGCACCTGCTTGCTCATCAGCCTCAGAAATTTTAGGAGTCCTCTGCATCTCCATACAGGCCACCAAATTATGGTGACCTTAAAAATAAAGCTCTCAGTTATTTTAACAACAGATAAGGGGTTTATTCAGAAACAGTAAAAAAAAAATGCAATTTAGGGCAAACAAGCTGTAGCAAAAGTCATAGGCAAACTTCACAAGTAAACCAGTGGAACATTATTTTACAGAGAGAAAGGAGGAAGTTGGGAGGGGTCATTTCAAAGGAAAGTGCAGTGCAGAAAATCCTCAGTTCAGGGTGACCATGGTTTCTCTCTGGCTGACTTGCAGGGGGGTCAGTTTCTCCTGGCAGCACATGGTACCACCTATATGTTGGGGCCTTGACAGACAATCTTTCCTGTAATTGACCCTGGATGGTGCTATGTGGAGCACCCCCACTGGACCCCAACTCCACTTTAGTGAGGTTTCCCTTTATGCAGTTTCAGAGTAATAATTACAGTGAGTGGGCGCATTTCCAGTCCATGGAAATCAAGTTATATTTACATGCTCAAAACGGTAAGGACCAAAACCAGTTTTTCCACTTTATCCAGTGAAAGCCAGTAGCAGCTAAACCAATCCTGCTCTGTGAACCCCCCGTCCTCAAATTTAACGTGTTATTTTTATGCAAAATACTTGTGTGTTTTTCCAGCATTTCTAAATTTATTTAGTTTTGTTTCTTTTTATCTTTTCCTATTTCTGAAATGTTTTTCCACCTGAGTTACTTAAACATAGCTATTACTCATAACGCCACTTCTTTGAGATGTGAAATTCTCAGTGTGTTTTCCAATATACTTATTATTTTATTTGTTGTGTTTAAATGTTTGAGTCCTCTGGGCCTTCTTTTGTGTATATGAATTGCGTGATCTTAATTTACTAACAGTTTCCCCGGAATGCAGTCCAGTCTTGACCGTGTCCTCACTGCTTATGTAGCCTTTGTTGAAAGTGGGTTTGACAATAGGGGGCAAGGACCTGCCTAGACGAAAGTTGGGAATCCCGACCACAGTCTGGTGAAACAAAGACACTTTGCCAGGTGGCAGGAGGGCCACATTCACCCTAAGGTCCAGCCCTGGCTCGGGGCTCCCAGCTCCTGTGGGGCGAATCCCTCACTAGCCACCTGGGGGACCAAAAGAGCCAAGGAAACCTCCTGTCCTCCCTGCAAGTTGTGTGACAGGCGCTGGTGGGACTCAAAGTAGCCAATCCGCGTGGGGTGGGGCAGGTCTTCCGCCGGCCTGTCGGGAACCCGGGAGGCTCTGCCCCCCCTGCCCCGCCCTTTCAGCTTCTTCTGACCGCCCATTGGCGGTCAGGGTCCTGGGATCTAAGCACTGATTGGTGGATTGTGGCCACGCGGCTACCCAAGCAGGAACCTTGCCTGAAGGGCCCTCCTTCTTCCTTCCGAGCTCGGGAAGCCTAGGAACTCCGGGAGGACGCTTGGCGGAAGTGGGCACCTGGACAGGTAAGCGGGGAGCCCTGCCATGTGGAACCTTTAACCCGAGACCTTCAAAGTCCAGCCCGAGAGACCCCAGATGCCCTCATCCTGAGGGTCCCCAAACCCCTTCAGCATCGAGGGGCCCGTGTCCGCCAACCCGGAGGACCCACAGCTCCTGACCCCTGACGCTTAGACCCCCGAACAGCCTGAAAACCCCAGTTCCCCTCGGCTCGGGGCACCCGACCTGCAGCTCGCCCGGAAAGACCAAATCTCCCCAAACTCAGAGACACTGAATGCCGTCGTCCTGGAAACCGACTCAGTGGTGGGGACCCTGAAGTCCCTCGATGAGACGCCCCGAATCTCCTCAGCCGCAGGGTCTGACCCTCCCCCCGACCTCAGTGTCCTCAGACGGGAAGACGCAGGATCGGGTCTCAGGGACCCCGAGCCTGTCAGCCTGAGAGACGGCGGTCTGCCTGGGACGCGCCTGCATCTCGCGCGGGCCTCTCCCGACCCCCGGGTGCACCTCCGGGCCCTTCCCCGGGAAAAGCGCGTTTCCTGCGCCGCCTCAGGCCCGCCCTGCGGAGCCCGCGCTGAGGCCGCGCGTGGAGGGAAGGGTGGGAACAAAGGCCCCGCCCCGGCGGCTCGGCCCTTGCAGGCCCTGGGTCCCCATCTCTGGGCGCCCCGCCAACCGGGGAGAGGCCGGTACCAGAACTCGAAGAGGGACTTCCACGTGCTCACCAGCCTCCGTAGCGCGCAGGCGCTGGGCCCAGGGGCCTGGGGAACCCGCCAGGCTGCTGGGCTGGCTCCGGCTCTGGCGGCTCCATCCGCCTGCAGCTTCCGCCTGCAGCTTCCTCCTGCGTGGACACCGATCAGGGGAATTTGTTCACAGCAGGGCTGGCTGTGCAGCCCTTACAGCAACTCGCTTTACTCTCCCATCCCAACCGAGCCAGTCCCACGGGCTTCCTGGAGCTTTTTGCTCCTCAAGGCTCCTTGCTTTCAGGACAAAGGTTTTGTTTCTTTCCAGGTCTCAGGGCCCAGCGACCAGCTTTCCTGTGTCACCACCCCAGGCAGGCCACCAAGCTCCAGGAGGAGGACCCTGAGGACTCTGATGAAGAATGGGCTCCAAGGCAGCAAGGTGAGGGGCAGGAGGAGCCTGAGCTGCCCTCCTGGCACGAACCTGGTTTAGGTCAGGCTGCATCTCGGGACATAACCAGGGAGCAGGGTTTGCTTGTCTAGCAAACAAGCAAGATGCAGAACAGTGTATCATACAGTGAGGGGCTATTCCTGTAAACTGGCAAGTGTGCAACTTAATCATATATGTTTATAGATACATTAATAAGCAATAAATGTGTAAGAACATACAAGTGAATAGGAAATAACTAATTCAGAAGAGTTGTCATCGCAAGAGAGAGAGGCAGGTCTGGCTGGTGAGGAGTGTCCCCATACCTTGCTGCCACATGGCCTGCATGGAGACGGACGAGGAACAGTATTAACATGGTGATTATGGAGCTGGAGGGAGGGCCAGGGTCGGAAGTGGCTGATCACTGTATCATTTCCTGATATCAGCTATAGCGCCGTTCTGTCCTATATCATGAGTGTTTGATTGGTGGGGTGAGTCCACTTTCATGGGTCTCGGGTTCAAACACAGCTGAAGTCAAGATGTGATCTTAACTTGACTGGAATTCTGTTTCTGTGATCAGCAGACTGTGGATGCCAAGCAGAGTCTAATGACAAGGAAGGGCGTGGATGGCCAGGATGTGCACAGGGGGGAGGATACCAGAGAAGGGATGTGAGGGGTTGGCAGGGCCGTTAGCCTGGACGAGGCCAGTTTGAATGAAGACAACAGAGCAGAGAAAGGGTTATGTTGAAGACATGGAGTTTCTGTGCAGTTACTTTTATTACATTTTTGTCAGGAGAGGCCGATTTATTTTTTAATGAATGTAATAGATGCTTTATGAACATAGGAGGAAGTGTAGAAGAAACTTTGTCTATTTTTTTAATCATTCTAATGAAATTAGTGGATGGCCCAAAGAGAAGCATAGGCCTTAATGATACCTCAGAAAACACTTTCCAAACATCCTGGGATTGTTCTTGCACTACTCTCATTGACAATTCTGTGTCCCTAAAAAGAATCTCCAGATTTTAGAAACAGTTACCAACCAAAACACTGATTTCTCATCATCTTTCAGTGAAACCTTCTTGGGTGGACTTCAGAAGGGAGCAGAGTAAACACCAGAAGGTGAGTGTTTCCCAAATCCTGTTGACAAGAAAATTTTCCTCATGGATAGAAATGCAGGTAAGAGTAGGAAAATGCAGAAAGTATCCTAGGAACTGCTGCCTTCCTTTCCTGGTCTTCTCAACGCATTGTCAACATGATAATCTTTTTAAAAACATTTTATTTATTGATTTTTTTTTTGGAGAGAGGGGAGAGGGAGAAAGTAAGGGAGAGAAGCATGTGCAAGACACACCTGTATAGGTTGCCTCTCACACTCTCCCAAGTGGGAGACCTGGTCCCCAACCCAGGTGTGTGCCCTGACTGGGAATGGAACTGGTGACCTTTCACTCTGCAGGCCAGCGCTCAATCCACTGAGTCACACCAGCCAGGGCTCATCATCATCTTAATAGTTAACAACTACAGCAACAATAGTAACTACCATGTGTTTCATTCTCATGTTTCAGACTTTAAGAATTCTATGTGAATAAACTCACTTAAACATTACAACAACCCGATGAGGTACGTACTATAACTCACCATTCATGATGAGGGAAGTCAACTTTCAGAGATACAGAAATGTTTGACTATATGTCTAAGACCACAGTGTCAGGGATAGTGCAATCTAATCCATAGTTGCTTCTCTAAATTACTTATGAACTCATTGAAACATTCATAGTTTTACCCTAGCCAGCGTGACTCAGTTGAGTGTCATCCTGCAAAGCGAAAGAGCGCTGGTTTGATTCCTGGTCAGGGCATGTGCCTGGCTTGTGGGCCAGTTTCCCGGTTGGGGTACTTGAAAGAGGCAATTGACCAATGTTTCTCACATCAATGTTTCTCTCCCTCTCTTTCTCCCTCCCTTCCTGTCTCCCAAGAAAATAAACAAGATCTTTTTTAAAAATTAGAAAAATACACTTTCATAGTTTTCTACAGTTTACATTCTCTTATCCATATCTCATTACATCATTCATCTGCCTGTTTCAACCAAAGTTCTCTGCTATGCTGAAGTGAGAGATGCACTAAGACCCTCTGACTAAGGAAAGCGTACAATGTGTAGGCAGTTTGTACAGTGGATGGTCCCAGATGAAGAAGAATGTAAAATGTCCAGGATCACAGCCTCCCACTCTAATCAAGAGCATCTCCCACCCCTGAGGGCTTCAGATTTCATGATTGAGGAATAACAAGTAATAAAATGACTTAAGGATTTCATATAGGTTACACACTATTCAACAGAAACTCATCCGTCTGGAACTGATTTCAAATCCCCCTATCGGGTGAAGTAACAGCTTTGTCTGAGTTCTCATGAGGCCACTCTCATCCTGTTTAGAATCATTTGTGCAGCCTGCCTACTCTGTGTTGTGAGCTCTTTGAGGGGCTGGTCCATACCTGAGACTTCTCAGAGGTCACACTCCCAGATCAGGGCTCCTAAGGGCCCCTGAATGTTTGCTGAATGAGTGATTTCACAATTACAAAATAAATTAGAACATGATCAATGAACGCTGAAGGTAATTTCTGTGGGATTGAAATATGGAGAGAGGGGTAAATTGATAGCACATTCGTGCTGTATTACATAATTCACAGAACACTTTGTTGAACATTATTTAAGTACACATCCACTATAACATTAAAAATGAGCATGTTATAGGTATGGACACTGAAGACAACTAGCTACTGCTACAGCCTTATTCAAACAGTTGGTGGGAACCAGCTCATCTAAGTACAAATATTCTTTCCAAGGTATTGCAAATATTTATCATTTTAGCTATTGTCTAGACATGTTTCTGCCAACTATTTATTTATTCTCTTTCCAATATCCTTCACTCTCAATTTTATAGAGACAGTTGAAAGAAAAGCCATAAGGCGTGGGTTCTAATCTTAGATTCATTACCCACATTGGCCCTATTCCCTCTAATATTCATACTCCTGAGGTATTTCCAAGGGTTCAAGTATTAAAGACATGCATGTAAATTATATGATAGGCCATAAAACATTAAATACGTTTTCTCTTTTAATATATGATCCTTATATTGAAGGCAACATCCGGGGTGCCATTAAGCAATGAATATAGTTTGAAGGAATTGTCAGGAACAGCAAATTTGATGACTGCAAGTGACTCAGAGCAGGCCCAGAAACCAGTGTCCCCTCCTGGAGAAGCATGTGCCTTTGGAAAGCACACTAGACAAAAATCGGGTAAGAAAATAATTTGGAAACTAGTTCCTCTAAGTCCTACAGAAGGGCTGATAAGTATGACCTAGGTATGTGGGGCAGACTTTGGGTAGGCCTGGATTTAAGCTGGGCTAAGCTGAGACTGAAGTTACCACTGGACCTTTGGGCAAATCCTATAAATTCTCTGAGCCCCTGCAGGCTAATGTGTAAAGTGAAGATAAGGAAACATCACTCATATTGTTTGAAAACATTAAATTGAATTTAAAACAGGTGACACATGCAAGTTGTCCAAAAAATCCATCTGTGATAATAGCAACCACACTGTACTGGTGTTGTGTGCCCAGGCCTTTGACCAATGCCTAACACATAATGAGCAACTCAATAAATATTTTATCAGTGAGTAAAGGTTGGCAAGTTAAACCTGGTAATGGGAAGATCTAGAAACTAGAATTGAATCACTCATCTGTAGTTAGTGTGGCATCTTAGTTTTCTGAAGCAATAGTTAACAGTAACATGCCAGAGTATGCAAAAGGACAGGTAATAAATTCATGGGAGGAGATTGTATGTTATCTGACAAAATGAGAACTAACACTATAGATCCCACCAACCTGGCTCACCTGCTCTTCTCCAACTCAGAACTCAGGAGAAAGGAGATTGACTTGAAGATGTACAGCCTACAAGAAAGAAAGGACTGTGTGTACCAAGAGGTCACCGAGCCCCAGGATGATGACTACCTTTGTAAGTGACCCTCACTAAGAAGCAAGCTATGATACAATAATTCCATCTAGTCCTTTGGTCCCCAAATCATTCCCTTCCTTAGTGACCTGGAATACAGGATTGAGTCTCACTGATGTCAGTGCTGGACTGCCTCTGAAGCTCTTTGTGTCCAGGAACATGCGCTATACCTTCCCCAACCCCTGTTGCTCTCGCCTCCAGATTGTGAGAAGTGTCAGAACTTCTTCATCAACAGCTGTGCTGTGCATGGGCTCCCTGCATTTGTAAAGGACAGTGCAGTGGACAAGGGGCATCCCCACCGCTCAGCCCTCACCCTGCCCCCTGGGTTGAGAATCGGGCCATCGGGCATCCCTGAGGCTGGGCTTGGAGTGTGGAATGAGGCAGCTGATTTGCCAGTGGGTCTGCACTTTGGTCCTTATGAAGGACACATCACAGAAGATGAAGAGGCAGCCAAGAGCAGATACTCCTGGCTGGTGAGAACTATTTATCTTTTCTACTGTCTTCTGGCTTCCCACATTCCTTCTGAGGCCTGGAGGGACCTCACCTCTTATGTGCTAGATATGGAGGGGACAATGTGGTCAGCTCTGTGTACTGACTGGACTTCACATGTACACAGAGCTCCTGTTTAAGGATCAGAAGGTAAGTGGGAGCAAAGTGGTGCAGACACAAAGGAGTGGCTTCTCCCTTGTGGGGCTCCTACTGTAATTGGACAGGTAGATTCAGCTGTGTAGGTGATGAGTAAGAAAATTCTCATGTGGTCGCAGCTGGCAGTGGAATGCCGATGCAGGCTGAATGAGCTTTGATGACTGTGGAGTAAAATAATTCTTCTTACTATTACCTACACACACACACTCACACACAAAAGTTCTTTAACTTCTTTTGTGAAACACAGATCGCCAAAGGGAGAAACTGCTATGAGTATGTGGATGGAAAGGACAGATCCTGGGCCAACTGGATGAGGTGAGGTCAACAGGTCTCTGGGTGCCAGAGGGGACTCTCATCCCCCATGAGCCCCTATATCTGTCCCTCTCATCATGCCTCCCTCAGTCCTTCATTCCCTCTTCTTTTCCATACGGTGTTCTTTCATTTCAGGGGACATTTAGGGAAAAAGTATAGCGCATGTCCTCAAAATATAAAGCTGTCTGCTAGACACAATATGGGCGCTGGAAAGGTCCTTGAAGAGCCTAAATACACCAGGGACACTGGATTATACTTTATCAAATGAACATTAATTAAGCACTTAGTATATTCCAGTTTAGATGAAGGTATACATTACTTAAACAAATCACACAACCATGTCCTTATGGAGGACTTCTCACAGACAGACATAAAACAATTGCTTTTAGAAGCATTTAACTATAATTTCCAAGAAGTGCACAGTGTCAAGATAGTGCAGACCAAGGGTGGCCAAAACCTGTGCAGGCAGCAAACCATCCCAGCCTCGCTTCAAACTAGAGCTGGGCTCGGAGGCCTGCAGAGAAACGGTCATGGGCCCCTTTCCTGAGAGGGGCTCTCTTTCATCAGGGAGAACAGAATGTGAAGCAAATACTGTTGTTTCTGTTTTATTTTACTAAGACAAAAAGACCTTCAATTTTCTATAGTAACCTTGGGCAGGCAAGTGAATGGTGTCGTGAATAAAGTGCAGGGGCGTTGGAGAAAGGCTTCTCAAGAGAAAACACATGTGGGCTGAGTACTGGATAATTACTGAGCTAGTTCAGAAGCAGAGCCCTAGATCAAGCGCCAGGTTCTGTGGTGTGAGACAACTTGATTGAGAGTTTGGAGAAGCAAGAGAGCACTGAATATTATGGCCAATCAGGGTGCAGGTTAAGTCTAGAACTGGGTGTTAGAAAGTAGTAATAGGCAGGATGAACACTGCAAGCAGGACTTGGACATAGTAGATTAGGGGCAGTGGGGCGCCTTAAGAATCAGTGAGGCTGGTGTTTGAGAGGGGAGACCACGGTATGGTCTCTCCCCCTCTTCCCCTCTAAAGATAAATAAATAAAATCTAAGAATTGGAACTGACATGGATGTAACAGGTAGTGGGAACTCATCACCATGGTTTTCTTTCCCTTCCTCTGCCTCAATCCCAGGTTTGTGAACTGTGCCCGGGATGATGAAGAGCAGAACCTGGTGGCCTTTCAATACCACAGGCAGATTTTCTACCGAACCTGCCGGGTCATCAGACTGGGATGTGAGCTCCTGGTCTGGTGCGGGGACGAGTATGGCCAGGAGCTGGGCAGCAAGTGGGGCAGCAAGTGGAAGAGAGAGCTCGCGGCCGGGAGAGGTGGGCACCACTGTTCTTCAAAACAGAAAGAGAGAGAATTCTCCATAGAAATATTCGTGTTCCAACTCTTAAGTGGAGTAAAGTCCACTCTAAAGTCAGTAAAGTTTCAAATCACATGCTTCAGAAATTCACAATTCATTCATATGCCTTTGACTCTTAGACAAATATTTTATATGTTTTATTTTTAATATATTTCATGCCCAAAATAAACAACTGCAAATAGTGCCGAAAGGTTGAGAGGCAAAAAAGGAGCTTTCAAGCATAACCAGCTCTCTCACCAGGGCAGTTTTTCTGACACTTATATAGCTGTTTCTTCTTAACTTTCCTCCATACTTCCAAAGAAGATATTTTTGTTTATAGGCATTCATTATTTTTTAAAGGTTTTTGTCCTGGCTGGTGTGGCTCAGTGGACTGAGGGCCGGCCTGTGAACCAAAAGATCACCAGTTTGATTCCCAGTTGGGGTACACGCCTGGATTTCAGGCCAGGTCCCCAGTAGGGGACACGTGAGGCAACCACACATTTATATTTCTCTCCTCCTTCCCTCCCTTCCTCCTTTTCTGAAAATAAATAAATAAATCAGATACATTTTGTAAAGATTTTATTTATTTTTACAGAGAGTGAAAAGGAGGGAGAAAAAAATATGCAAGAGAGACATTAACCGGTTGTCTATGGCACACCCCCAACTGGCTCCTAAACCTGGCATGTGCCCTGACTGGGAATTGAACTTGTAACCTTTCCATTGTGGGACAACCCACAACCCACCGAGCCACCCATTCAGGCAGGGACCATTCGTTCAGCGTTTTAGTGAATTGTCATGAGAGATCCTACTCTGGTGCACAGGGTTCTGGGACCTGGAGATACAGATTAACATGAGGATCAGAATCACTGCTCTTGAGGAGCTGACGGGTGAAGGAGGGAAGCTCAGGCACACGTGCTTGCGTGTGCGTGACACTACACAGCAGTTAGTGCTTTGGAGAAAACCAATGCAGGACAAGGGCCCAAAGATCAGTGTGAGGGGAGGTGCGGTGTGGCAGGTGGTCCGGGACATTTACAAAATGACCTGGGGGCAGAAGGAGCAGCTAGTGCAGGGAAGAAAAGAGGTGCAGCATTGACTTGGCTGAGGGTCACTCAGATCTCGTCTCAGCACGGAGGGTAAGAACGGAGATCAGACACATGCCTAGCAGCTCAGAAATGCAGTGCTTGAAAAATAACTAAATAAAATTATTGAGAAAAAAAATGCAGTGCTGATGATCCGAGTTGAGACACTGGGGAGTTAACTGAGTAAAGACTTTCCTGAGTAAAGTGTGCAGTTGTCGGCTGTAGAGTGGTGTGTTCTCTATTCTGATTATGTTTTGTTAATGTTTATAAAATAAACTCCAGTGGGGAATCCCCTCAGAGATTACCTCATCTCCGGGTGAGAGAGCACGGTGGATTGGCCAGAGAGGAACAGGAGTCAGGCATGATAAGAAGTGTGGTTGGAGCTCTGGCTGGTGTAGCTCAGTGGATTGAGCACAGGCCTGTGAATCAAGGGCTCGAGGTTCGATTCCCAGTTGGGGCGTATGCCTGGGTTGCAGGCCAGTTCCCATGGGGGGACACGTGAGAGGCAACCACACATTGGTGTTTCTCTCCCACTCTTTCTCTGTCCTTCCCATCTCTCTAAAAATAAATAAATATATTTTAAAAACTCAGTCTTTTAAAAGAAGTGTGGTTGGAGAAGTATTATGAAACATGTCTTAGTGTGTTTGAAATGGATTCACACTGCCCTCACAGGACACACTCAGAAGAAAAGCCGTAAGTTTGCAGGGAGTGTGGGTGAGGCTTTACACAGAGGTCACTTCTCATCACACACCAGACAATGAGATGAAGGATAAATATTTAGGCTTGAGGCAGAACATTTTTAGAGGGGAAGAGGGAGAAAGGGAAATATCAATGTGTGGTTGCCTCTCACACACCCTCTACTGAGGACCTGGCCCACAACCCAGGCACGTGCCCTGACTGGAAATGAATCCTGCAACTCCTTGCTTTGCAGGCTGCCCCTCAATCCACTGAGCCACACGAGAAAGGGCAGGGAGGACATTTTACTTTACTGTTTTGGAAAACAGAGAGAAACAATTCCTGGGGCCCGTGGTTTTCCTCTTTACCATGACTTAGAAGATACCTACAGATGGGAAAGGTCACTGCAGTTCCGTCCACACAGGGAGTAAAATGGCCTCTCATTCTTGAAAGTCCCTAGTCTGGGCAATGTTAGGCCCTTGATGTGGGCTTTCTGGATTTCTGAGGAAGAGGCACTGTATAAAAAGGAAAATAGTGAGTGGACACTGTTGGAGACAGAGATTGTGTTACCACCACAGTAAGAAGGACTCATGGGGCAGTTGTTACCAGGAGACTAATCAGGGCCATTACTGTCTTCAACATCTGCCCTGACCAAACCTTTCTCTTTCGGCAGAACCAAAGCCAGAGGTGCACCCGTGTCCCTCCTGCTCTCTGGCCTTCTCCAGTGAGAACTTCCTCAGCCAACACGTGAAACTCAGTCATCCCTCTCAGATTCTCCAGGGAACATCTGCAAGAAAACACCTCCAAGCAGAAGAGCCCTGTCCAGAGGATCAGAATCAGCAGGAGCAACATACTAGTACACACAGCTGGAATGATAAAGCTGAAGGTCAAGAGGTCAAAGAAAGGTCCAAACATTTGCTTAAAAGGATCAGTCAAAGGAGAATCTCAAAACCCTTTTTCCAACCTTCCAAAGAACAAATGAGGAGCTCTAGTGAACACAAGAGAATGATGGAGAAAGAGCCCGGCAGAGGTCAGAAAGACTGTCCAGAGGACACAGGCAAGTTCTTTGTGGAAATAGGAATGTCAAGAATTACAACAATCGAGCATGGAGGGTGTTGGCAAGGCTTCAGTGATGGGTCACATCTCATCAGACACCAGAGGACACACTCTGGGGAGAAGCCCTATGTCTGCAGGGAGTGCGGACGAGGCTTTGCATGCAAGTCAACTCTCATCACACACCAGAGGACACACTCTGGGGAGAAGCCCTATGTTTGCAGGGAGTGCGGGCGAGGTTTTTCATGCAAGTCAAATCTAATCACACACCAGAGGACACACTCTGGGGAGAAGCCCTATGTTTGCAGGGAGTGTGGGCGAGGCTTTACACAGAAGACAAATCTCATCACACACCAGAGGACACACTCTGGGGAGAAGCCCTATGTTTGCAGGCAGTGTGGGCGAGGCTTTACATGCAACTCATATCTCATCAGACACCAGAGGACACACTCTGGTGAGAAGCCCTATGTTTGCAGGGAGTGCGGGCGAGGCTTTGCACAGAAGTCAACTCTCATCACACACCAGAGGACACACTCTGGGGAGAAGCCCTATGTTTGCAGGGAGTGCAAGCAAGGATTTGCAAGCAAGTCATATCTCATCAGACACCAGAGGACACACTCTAAGGAGAAGCCCTATGTTTGCAGGGAGTGCAGGCAAGGCTTTACCTGGAAGTCAAATTTCATCATACACCAGAGGACACACTCTGGGGAGAAGCCCTATGTTTGCAGGGAGTGCAAGCGAGGGTTTGCACGCAAGTCACATCTCATCAGACACCAGAGGACACACTCTGGGGAGAAGCCCTATGTTTGCAGGTGGACTGAGTGACTCATTACCATTAAGTTGTATATCAATAGCCATAGGAAGTCGAGTGCCCCTTACTCTCCTCAAGATTGTAATTAGTACAGAAGCAACTTGTTAAACCCTCCACTTTCGAGATGAGATGGGGATGTCAGCACCAGTCTCCTTCATGGCTTTTTGACCACCTATTGTAAAATGGTTTGTCTCACTACATCCCTCATTCCCCCCATCACTGAAAGCAGAGGGTCTCGGAAGAGCCACAAGGGTCTCGTACTCTCAGCCACAGAAATTCAACTGCAAATGCATAAGCCTTTAGTCAATCTATTTTGGTTACTGTCCAGAGAGGGATTTGAGACAGATGCATCGTGAAGGGAATTCCCCTGGCTCCTCGGAAGTGGGGCCTCTTCTCCTAATAGGCTTCCTACCCTCCTCCCTTGGCTTCTCTTGGCTCTTCTGGTTTCCTACAACCTCCGGAGCCTCAGAGGTGTGAACAGCACGGAGGAATGTGTGCTTGTGCGTGGATGTGAGCCTGGCTAAGGACAGGGTAAGGGTCTGTAGCCAAATTCAGAATTTGAGCAGACCCCACTGCTTTCCCCACATAGACTGAGCTGCCCTAAGAAGGAAGTGTGAGGTTGGGGGTGTGCCTCCCCCTGATCACCACCCTCACTGAGCCTGGGCATCCTCTGAGCCTCCTGAACATGGGCAGGTGGTACTGAGAGTGACCTGTGAAACAAGACCCTCACCCACCCCTTGCTGAGCACTGACAGGGAACAGCACCTGCCTGCACTGGGGTGTTAGGGTAGATGGTGAGCCAAGGCAGGGAGGACGAGGAAGATGGGTGTCACCCACGGACTCAGCAGTCCTGCGCCTGGTCCAATTCCATTGCCAGATGTTCCAGCATCACAAGAAACACCATGCTAACACGTTGAAATTTTAGGTATTATTTCTACTATCTGGGAAAGAAAAGCTTTCAAAGTGTATTCATACCAAGGCCTAGAAGATGGGAGGGGGTCTACAACAGGCATGGAAAGACCCGTAAAACAAATCTGGTTAATTTCTTACCTCTGCCCACTATCTTTTATGAGAGGGTCTCTAGTGCTTACAGAAAGAGCCCATTGTTAGCTTTGGGTAACTGCCTCAACTTAAACTGTCTCCTGTCATTCATCTATTTTACAAGATGACCAAGTGGGGTCAGAAGCAAGATAAGGATTCAGGCTAATGACCCCCACACATACCTATGTTTGGGTAGTCCGTCCCCTTGGAAGCTGGCACCACTTTTACCCACCGATCAATATGTAAATTCTTCCCCCCATCCTACCAACTATATATATAACTCCCCAGGACAAAGGGCCTGGTGCTCTCGCCACCCAAGCTCTTGCCTTGCACCCCCACCTCAGCAAGACCTGTCCTCTTCCATGAGAACGTGTCACTAATAAACCCTGCTTGCACTGTAATACACTTGCTGATCTGTAATCCCTTACTGTGTTGGTAAAAAGTTTCTCCTGTGACAGGTGCACCCAATCTCTACACGGCATTCATGAAGCCCGCAACACAGCAGCTTTTCTAATACACCCTCCTTGTACCTGGGCCCCACAGAGTTTAATGCTCCGCTGACACCATTTCAAAATTATTATTGTATTTTTGAACTGGTTTGTGAATTCAATGGAATAGCAGACATGCACAATGTTGGTCACTCCTGGCCACCTGTTCCCAGATAATGTCCACAATGGCCCAGGAGCACAAAATTCCCGTGGACCCAAGGGGTGGGAGTCCAACGAGACTCAGAGTGAGAACAGGGTAAACATCTACATCTGCATAAACATAAGCAAGGGTGCTAACAGCTCCCAGAGGCCACACATTTCTTAGAACCAGAGCTGAGTTCAATACACAGAGATGTCAAACATTTAGTGTGGACCCCATCAGACCCTCTCCTGCATGAGGGAGACCTACACATTACCCACCCCATTCCTCGTGGAGTGGGTTCACCAAAGGGGGACACCCTCCCCCATGACCTGGAGGATGATCTCCGTGCCGCAAATCTAAAGTTTACCAGCTTGATGACCAATCTGGGCATGTGCCTGAGTTGAGGGTTCAGTCCCCAGCTGGGGCGTGTGAGATGCAACTAATAGATGTTTTCTCTCTCTCTCTCTTTCCCCTTCCATCCCCTGTCTAAAAGTAAATAAAATCTTTTTTTCAAAAGGACACTTGAACAACAGGAAAGTAAGAGCATGTTCTTGGAGAGAAAAATATAATGATCTCCATTTCCCACAGTTATGTATAAGTGTAATATGATCTAGCTTAAAATATCAGCAAAAAAAGTTATTCCTTACCTGAGGACATGCTTATTGATTTCAGACAGAAGGGAAGGGAAGGAGAGAAACATCGATGTGAAAGAGAAACATCAAAGGGTTGTCTCCCCACTGGGCACCAAACATGCAACCTAGGCCTGTGCCCTGACTAGAGCTTGAACTACAACCTTTCGGTTTATGGAATTGTTATGGGAAAAACTCAGTTGTCCTTGATGATGTAGTAAAGAATTACAGATCAGCCAGTCTGTTAGTGAGCAAGCAGGGGTTACCAGTGATTCATTCTCATTGAAGAGAACAGGCCTTGCAGAGGTGGGGGTGAGAGGTGTAGATTCTGGGCAGGGGAAGGTAAGGGTGGCAACAGGCAAGGGCAAAGGTGGCAGGAGACTCAGATCCTTGGTCCTGAGGAATTAGGTAGTTGGCAGGATTGGGGTGAAGAAGTGACATATTAACTGGTGGGTAAAGGTGGTGCCAGCTTCCACAGGGGAAGTAACTACCCAAATGCAGGTATGTGTGGGGGTCTGTTAGCCTGAATCCTTATCTCACCCCAGACCCCATTTGTTCCTCTTGTAAAACAAATACGTGACAGGAGCCAGTTGAAGCTGGGGCAGTTACCCAAACTTATAAATTATTTATGGGCTTTCTGTAAACATTAGGTACTCCCTTGTAAAACAGATGGTGACCAGAAGTAGACAAGTAACCAAAGTTGCCTTGTGGGCTTCTTCTTTGGGCACGGTGGACACCCTCCCACCTACCACCCAGACCTTGGAATTAACACACAGTTTAATTCTAAGGCTTTGTTTTCCAGACAGTGGGAACAGTACATAGAATTCCCTCCTCCTGTGCTACCATGTGTTTCTTGTGATATTCTGAACACCCGGCTAAGGACGGCTGACTCAGTGGGTGAGACATGTCTCCCTCCTCCCTGTCTGGGTTTGCTATCTACCTACCTAACAGGGCAAGGCTCCAACCAACTGAGCCACATTGGCCAGGGCTCAGCAAAATTTTTTAAAGTAAAACAAGTTCAATTTAAGTTCACCTGTTAAAATAAGTAAGAATTAAAAGGTGTATTGTATTATGAACCTACACTAAGTACAACAGTGGATTAATGCCCTATGAATAGACAGATTGATGGAAAAGAATTCAGGATCTATTAATCTATACAGATCCATATAGAAATTGTGTTTTGTTTAGTTTTTTTAATTTATTGACTTATTTTTCATTTGGAACATCTACCCCTGCCTCTCATATGCTCCCAACTGGTGATGTGGCCCACAGCCTGTCACAGGTGGGCACAGGTAACCAGGTTCTTGATGATAGCACACAAAGAATTGAACAGAACACAGAGAATTTATAACAAACAGATGGAGAGCAGATTTATTAAGCAATAGTACACTGCACAGAACATGGGAGCGGGCTGACTCCAAACAGATTGATCTCAGGAGCTGGAGGGATTCTATACTTACAGGGCGATACTTCTTGGCTACTTTTGGCAGGGTTTTATTGCCCATGTACAAGTAGTTCTATTACTTTAAAGCTACTGCATATGTGGTCTCCCATGATCTTCCTTGACTGACCACCAGGGAAGGGGGTCCCACAAGGCTGATTTATTATAATGAAGCAGGGGTCATGTAGCACCTTCTGCACAGTGGCATTCATGATTCACCATGATTCAGTGCTCTTAGAACAGGGTCTCTGCACTGTGTCAATGTCATTTAGCTTAGCTCTGGAGCACCTCTGGTTTCCTCCTGACCATCTCCTGCCTCAAACCCAGGTAAGTGCTCTGACTGGGAATGGAACTGGTGATCTTTTGGTTTGCAGACAGATGCCCAGTGCACTGAGCCACACCAGTCAGAGCCATTGCTTGAGTCTTGCATGTGGCTTGACCAGGGATCAAACCTGCAGCCTTATTGAATCCCCCCCCCCCAAGAAAAACCCTGTAGAGATATAAAAAAAACTTCACATGACCCCTGGCTGTTGTGGATCAGTAGACTGAGCATACAGGCTTGTGAATCAAACGGTCACAGTTGGATTCCCAATCAAGGCACATGGCTGGGTTGCAGGCCAGATTCTCAGTTTGGGTTGTGTGACAGGCAACTGATTGATGTATCTGTTACATACATCGATGTTTCTCTCCCTGTCTTTCTCCCTTCCCTCCCCCTTCTCTAACAATAAATAAATAAATAAAATTTTAAATAAACTTAACATGAGCAGCAAAATTCAATTAAACATTTATGGATGACCCACTATACCCAACATTTCCTTCTGATCTGCACCAAGGTGTTTTCCCAACGTGAACAGCAGATGGCAGAAGAGAGGCGCACTTGGAACACTTTTTCAGTGGTCATATTGTACTGTAAAGCAAGTTTCAACAAACTTCAAAACAGTGAAATTATGCAAAGCATATTGCTGACAGTAACCGCAGTCAACCTAGAAATCAGTAACAAAGGGTTACTAAAAAGTCCTTTTTCAAAGTGATGAAATGTACATCTAAATAACATTGGGTTCCACATTCCTAGATGATACACTATACCCACTTTTCCCTGGGACCTGCAATAAGGTGTCATTCCCAAAAATGACCACGAGATGGAAGCAGAGACCGACAGATGCAATGCATATCCTACTAAGAGCCTGGCTGAAAGATTCCTTCACTTTTTACCTTGAGTTACAAAGACAGGCACACTTTTCACTGTCCTCCCACAACAGAACTGCACAATGTCACCACCGTCTTCTTCCACTGCTCTCTGCCACCTTCACGCGATTTCACCATTCCATCGTCCCACAACATGGTTCTCTGTCGAAGCAGAGAGGTCTTCCAGGTGTCTTATGCAGTCTTTCAGGTAATAGAAATTTCTCTCCATAAAGAAGAATGCAGAGAGACAAACTACATGGCCATGGGAAGGAGCAAGGTCTCTGAGTACTGTGGAGGAATCAGGACTGTGCAGCCAGGCTGGAACCGTTTTCCCTGGTCACCAAAGAGATATGTGCTCTCTCACCTAATCCTAACCCTCCGCATCTTCTGCTCCCAAATTCCGGACTCTTTCCCTCAGGTGGAGCTTTCAGTCGTTCTGATGGGGAGCAGTACCTGTTGCCAGTAGCCTGCTGGCTTTCCGAAACCAGCTCCCACTGCAGGACTCCCTCCCGAATTCACCACAAGGGCATCATCACCTCCTTTGGGTGCAGACTGCCCTTTGGATGAGCAAGTGGCAGTTCCCTTGTTTGCCCACAATCTCTCTCAAATAGCCTATTGCCCAAGACAATCTCAAAAGGGTTCCCTCCTGGGGACCTGGCCCACAACCCAGGCATGTGCCCTGACTGGGAATCGAACCAGAGACCCCTTTGGTTTACAGGTAGGTGCTCAACCAGTGAGCCATAACACCCAGGAAGACAGCTATATTTTTTAAAAACTTGAATGGTCCCTTCTAATGAGAAGACATTCATAGAAGTGGTAAAAAAGAAATACCAGAGAAGATGTTCAATGGCTACATCACAGCACAATACCCCTTCACAGACACTACAAAGGTTATAATAAGAAAGCAAAACTGACAAATGTTTATGATCACAAACTAATATTAGAATAATTGACCATTTCCTTTGAAAATGTAAAATATTGCAGACCTTGTATAAAGTGATTTGACATTTCCTCAAAAAAATTATCCTGGGTTCAAAAACTCTACTTTGAAATACAATCTTAAGAAATTGAAGACAGATGTTACAACAAACTCATACATGATTATATATAACAGCACTGTGAATAAGAACTGAAAGGTAGAAAGTATTCAAGTATCCATCCACGGGTAAACAAATAACACAAAATTTGGTTGTTCTGTCACTGAAAAGGGACTGGACCCAAGGGGGGTTTGCCCTGGAAAGGTCTCAGTTGACCTGCAGCAAAATTTCATGACACAAAGCTAGGGAATTTTGAGAGTTTGTATATTAAATCTAAGGACAGTGAAACAAAGAAAGGGCTTCAGACAGAAGAGGCACAATCACAGCAACAAGAGTGAGCATGGGTGGAGCTGCTTCTTGAGAAACAGAAATTAGACGCAAGAAGTTCCTTGGAGACAGGATCAGGGGGTGAGCCCGGGACGAGCTGCCGCTGCCCACAGCTCCCTGCCTGCAAGTCCCAGGGACCTTGGAGATAAGGAGAAACAGTGCAGATATGCAGCAAAGAAGAGAAGGGAAGGTGCATGTGAACTCAATGAACAGCTCACACTGGGTCTTTTTTTAAGGGTTTTACCTGTTTTCTAATGTTGAGGACTTTAGAGGAGGTCTTAGAAGAGTCATCGCCACACAATACTCTGCTTCCCAGGACCAGGAGTGTCACTGATGTGCTGATGCAACAAGGAGCACACAGAGTGATCAGGGTCCTGCTCTGGTGACTTTCTCCTTCAGAAAAGTCACCAGAGAAGGGCTGGGACTGAGGTGGGTCTTCCCTGTGTGGTCTGGAATGTGTGAACCATTTGCTCTCAAATGCCCTTGGTCAGGGAAGATAAGGGCCTCAGATTTATTACCTGGCTGTAAATTGCTAGGCCTTATTTAGCTATCAAACTCACTTTTTCCATTCCACTTGCCAAGGAATTTTCCTACTTTTTTTTTTTTTTTTTTACAAACCTACCTCAACTCCATACACTTGTGCATTCATATTGGCATTGAATTTGTCAAAATGGTCATCTGTTGACAGACACCAGACAACACAGCCAAACTCAGAATCCTGGACACAGACCTTTGACTCCAAAACGTTGGCCCTGGAGTGGACCCAAACCAAAACCAGGACTGCAGGCTCAAAGCCTCAAACCCAAAGCCCTGGGCCCTGACCCAAGCCAGACCTTGAGGTCCAAAGGCCAAACACCACATGCCAGGGACTGACATTGGACCCTTAATACCAGATGCCATTCACCAAAACCAAAAGCTTCATCTGCACATGGACCTCACATGCAAACCCAGGACACAAAGCCACATCCTAAGAGGTGCAAGACTGTATACCCACAGCCGAATACACTTTGACTCTGAAGCACAGGCCCTGGACACAGGATGCAGATCTATAACCAGGACACCAAGGCCAGATTTTGGACTTGGAGCCCTTTGCCAGGCCCCTGTTGCCAGAGGCCACAGGCAGGAGCTGAACCAGTTCCTCCCATTTTATACAACCCTGTGATTCAAAAACCCTTGTCTCTCCAAATGCAAACTTCCAAATTTTACCAAACCCAGCAAAATAGGCCAAAAGACATAGTCAAGAAAAAGGATGCTGACCTTGGAAGGCAGATGTCCATGGTCTCTCAGTTGCAACAGGTTCAGGAGTTAGCACTGTCTCACCATTCATTCCACACTGCCAGCTTTTCAAACCTGTGGGGAATTATTTTCCACAAAAAGAGATTATTTTCCACAAACCTTGTCGACTAACACTTGTGTGATAATAATTAAAATAACATAAGATATAATCTTGTATCATAAGATCAATACAAGATATTCAACATTGAATGCATGCATGAGTACAAATGAATACCGGACAATGAGGTGTTATCAGGTATACAGGACCTTTGGGAGTCTGTGGAAACAGGGTCTTATAGAGGTAAGATGGGTGATAGAGACAGGAAGTTTATGAACAGTGCAACCTTCATGGAATGTTACTTTTTGGCAATCCTACAAACTATAGGATGCAAGCTAAACTAATAAACTTTTCCAAATTTCATTAACGTAATCATTCAGTTGAAAATAGGTTGCTTTGCTAAAATTGTTAAATCTTGTGGCAACAGCAGCGGACACAGCCTGGGAGAGCGACCAGCTGCCAGGAGGGCCTTGCAGCGCCCACAGGGGGTCAAAGGTCTGAGCATCTCTGTCCAGTGCAGTGTGGACTGTCCTCCTCTGCCTGCAGCCAGCAGAGTGCAGCGGGCCCATGAGTACAAGGCAAGGGACCGTGAAGCCACAACCAGGAGTCGAGCCACGGCCACATAGGTGGGACAATAAGATTTGTCATCTCAGTGACACATGACATGGCAGCCAAGAGCCACACTTGGGACATTTTCAAAGGGACCATTTTATGCTAGAACAAGTTTTAACAAACTTCAAAGGACTGAAATTATATACAGTATGTTTCTTTCAGTCATTGCTGTTAACATAGAAATTAGGAACAAAAGTTAACTAGTTAGCCCTCATGTATAAAACTTACTAAATACACATCTAAAAATTACATTGCAATCAACATTCATTGATGTTCTACAATCAACCACTTTTCCTGCTGACCTGACACTAACATGTTATTCCCAAAATTCCCACGAGATGACAGCAGAGATGCACACTTGAAAACTGAACTATTTGGCCAAAAAGTTCATTTGGTTTTCAGGTAAGGACACAATGAAAGAAATGTTTTTCATTTTCACCAATAATTTCATTGAAGAACATATTCACTGCTTTGTCCCACTGCTTTCTTTAATCTTTCAGGCATCTTCATAACTCCATCTTCCAAAAGTTTTTTCTTTTGGCCAAGCCAACATAAAGCCAGTTTCAACAAGCATTGCAGCGCTAAAAGTATATACTATATGTTTCTCTAAGTGCTCCTATTGCACTGAAGCTAGAATTCACTAAAGCTGAGTGATGGGAAAGTCCTTATATTTGGTAGTTATGTAATACACTTCCAAATAACCACAAAAATAAAACAATATGAATTACAAAATAAACTGAATGGGGAAAAGGATACTACACACCAAAACTTATGTAAAACATCTTCACCCTTAAATGCATGGTCTCAGAAATAAAAGCTGAAAATATACAAGTTTTGTGCCCATACTTATAACCTAAAATAGTAAATGAAATCCAGACAAAGTAGACAGAAACATGCACGTCGTCATATCTGCAGGTGTATATACATGAAATGATGGCAGTTCTTTTTAACTCTTAGTGTAGGATTTTGAACAAATGTTTTCTCATCATTTAAATAAGCAGCAACAAAGTAAATTAAAAATACTTTTCAAGCACACTTGGAACTTTTTAAAAAATGACTACATTTAGCTATAAAGCAGGTTTCAACAAGTGTCTCACAAACTATGTTTATTGGTCTCTTTGCCATTAATCTAAAAACCAGTCACGAGGTAACTACAAAGCCCCTATATTTAGATGTTTAAAATACACTTGTAAACACCTTCCCAAAATAAATCACAGTCAGAGTGGAAAATAATTTACATGGCAAAATAATAAAAACACTGCAT